AATCCTTTGTGTGTTTCTGCTCGTATTGTGTTTGCGACTGAAGAGAACAATCGAATTGTTGACGTATCGCAATCTCTGACTTCTCTCTTCCTTAACGAAAAGGCTCAGATGGACTGCCCGTAACCTCGAGCCCCGATCGTGCATCAACATTGGCTGCGAATCTCGCTCCCGTATTTGCGAGTGACCAGATTAACGAGTTCGACAAGTATCACTTTCGCTGAACTAGACAGCCTGGATTTGCGGCGTTGTAGATTTACCTTAACTTCTGGCAAGACTTGACAGAAGAAGCCTGCCGGGCCAGATGAAATCCACTCACTAATCCTCAAGTCCCAGTCAGCCATCATCTTGCACGCTGTAACTGATCTGTTCAAAAGGTCGCTGTCCACTGGACTATTACCCGGCGACTGAAAATGCTCAGCCGTAAAGCCAATACCGAAAGTTGGTAACCCAAGCAAAGTGGATACCTACCGGCCGATCTGCCTGACCGCTGTTTTGGCAAGACGCTTGAGAAGATCGTTAAGAGGAGTCTTTTGCAGCTTATCCAGTCGAAAAACCTCTTGGCACTCGCACAGCGTTGTTTCGTGAGGTCGCTCGTGCATCTCCAACCTACTGTTGACGAAGCACGAATGATTACAAGTGCTGAACCAAGGCAAGTCGGTCGTTATTTACATTGACTTCAGTAAGGCTTTTTACAAGGTGAATCATGCAGTGCTCCTCGACAGGCTGAGGGTGTGCATGCTGGCGGCTCTCTACATCGATGGATCAAGAATTTCCTTGTTGATCGAAAGTGGCAGGTCCAGGTCGACAACCATTTGAACGAATGGTATCCATGGAGCAGTGGCGTGTTCCATGGCACTGTACTGGGGCCGAGTTTGTTTTTGATCCATGTAAATGATGTGTCACAGCCACTCCGTTCAGCTTGTGCGTTGTTCGCAGATGACTTGAAGGTGTGGAGAATAATCCTCGCACCCAATGACTGTGACCTGCTTCAGCAGGAACTGGAGTGCCTAAAAAAAGTGGTCTGCAGAGGTCAACATTCCGATCAACCCCATCAAGTCGCAATTCATGAGGCTGGGTAAGTGTGAGCACAGTTGCACCTACATTGTGGCGGGTCAATCATTGCATCCCAATCCTTTCGTGCGAATCCTCGGTGTACACTCAAGCTGCGACCTAAAGTCCATGGACAACAAGAATAGGTTCAGATAAGTTTGGAAACCATCGGTTGGTACAGTAGTTTGGTAACGTTCCCATCTTGACACAAGGGCTTCGTCAGAGCAGGTAAAGCCGTGGGCAATTCAATGGGATTTTATAGCGAACAGGGGCGATAACCGCGTTACCCGATACTTGAGCCAAGGTGTCATTGCGGCAACAGTTCGTGATGTCACCTCAAATGGTTTAATCAGAGTGGCAATACTCCAGGTGTTCCTTTGTGTTTCATGGCACTGACGGATAAGCCTATAGTGTTGACAATGGGAGTCAACTCGCACTTTTCATTCTGACCCACGCGCCGGCGCTCGTCAGGCTGGCCGAGCTAAGATCGCTCGCCACACATTAGAGAGTTCAAACCCCTCCATTCTATTCACGCAGTCGTCAGATTTGGCAATTTTCACCGCATCGACGATCAACCGCCTAGGAGTTGTCCTATACACTATGTTTTCCAAGTCTATCTGGTGACCCGTGTCTAATACATGTACAGTCATGGCCGAGTCTCTTACTATTGCCTGGTATTCCAACTCGTTTCTTGGTAGTCTTGAAATGCGCCTACTGTGCTCTGAGATTCGCGTGCGTAATTCTGTCGTTGGTTGGCCTATGTACACATGTGCACAGTCCTTACATATAATTTTATAAACACAGTTAATCGCCCTATCCTTGGGAAGGAGGTCCTTCAAGTGTACCAGTGCCAAAAGTAAAGTTCGATCTCGCTGAAAGATCATCCTTATATTTTCCTTGGTTAGTACCCTCCGAATTGCCTCCAAGGTGTCTTCCTTGTACGGAATTTCTACCGTCCCTCTACACTCAGTTGTGGGGCTTGACTGCCTGTTTAGCACTTTATGCACTTGGTGTTTGACTAGCCACCGTGTGTAACCATTTTCGAATAATTGGATCATTGCCACTTTCGGCACAGCCTTTTTGTCTTCCTCTATCGTGCACAAGGTTTGTGCCCTGTAGAACAGCGCTGAGGCTATCCCAGTGTAAACCTGTTTAGGATGATCCGAAGTGCAGTGGAGTGCGTCGTCAGTATCCGTTGGCTTGCGATTTATTGTCGTCCTTAAATTTTTCCCGTTCCTATGAACCAAGCAGTCGAAAAATGGTATTGTACCGCTACAAGATTCCAACTCAAAAGTAAACTGTATCTTCTCATCAACGGTGTTTAAGTGGTCAAACAACTCGTCCTTCTTATCCCGTTTAACGAGGACAAAGTTGTCGTCTACGTAATGCCACCAAACTTTTGGCGAGTTAATGGTGTTTGTTAACGCCCTGTTCTCGAAGTCTTCCATATATATGTGCGCCAGTACAGGGGATATTGGCGATCCCATGGCAGTGCAATGAATACCTTCTTCTTTGAAGCTTCAGTTCGATTTTCCTGCGGCCTGGTTTTCTCCCCCTACCTTACAAAGAACATGCTAGGGTACCCATTTTCACTTAGGGTGGATGTGGTACCCTGTAACTTCCTCACTCGTTTCCTCTGATCATATACAACCGGCTCTTACGAAAGCTGCAAGAACCAGAAAGCGCTTGTAGCTCATGGGGCAGTATCTGTCGAAGTTTAATTATTGCCCCGTCCAGCTCGGTTTATAATAAATTGATCTCACGAGCGAGCCATCTGATCTTCTTACCAAGGCTACATCCAAGAAGTGGAACTTTCCTGCCTTACAACGGAGAAGAAAATGGCAGACGGCTCTGCTGTAGCTTACCTCACGCCATAAAAAGGTCTTACTATACAGCTGAGTTTGTGTTGCTCCACAGAACCAAAAAGCTACTACACTAATCCAATTTGGACAAACCTCACTCTACTGTCACCACCTCATGTGTTTACCAGTGTAACTGTAGTTGCGGTAGCATGTAATTTGGCCGGACAGAGAGGAGAATGTCCATTCGGATTTCAGAACACGTCTCGCGGAACCATGCTGTCTGCGGTGCAACATTAACCACCAGCTCCGTTGCCCAGCACTTATTCGACTGTTCGATGTGTCAGAATCTCCACGAAGCATTCAAGGTGAACAAAAGACAGAGCGACCCCAAGTTGTTGCGTTTTGCTGAGGCTTCTGCCATCCGACGTTTGAAGCCTAACCTATGCAAACAACTTGCGTTTGTGGCCAACCTTGCTTTGCCTTGGTGAGGCAAGGCACGCTAACCAACGCCACTAACCATCGATTTCTGGTATTGACCTATTACTCTCAAGAGTGTGAAATTTTCACTCATTGTATGTAAGCAGCGGAAGAGAATACACGAAATATACCGAATTCAGCATATTCTGCAGAAATGTTCGTTGTTGTTGCTCCGTTAAAATCTACATTCCGTTTCATTCGAAACCCTAGCTGACCTGTCAGTAGGACCAGTAGCATTAGGATGCACAGATATTAAACGCTGGAACTTACGCATTTGTCTTTTCTTTGAATCCCCCTTGTTTCAATTTGACCTCCGAAGCCTTATTGAAAATTCGGTTATAGTCGAGAGGCGTTATGACGGTCTTTAGATCCACGCCCAGCCGACTCGCGTCGATGCGGATCACGCTTAAACGCTTGGTCACTAGGTACATTCGCTTTTCAGGAAGCCCTTGGAAGCATTAAATGCAATCCTTGTGGAGATGTACGTACTGTTCGGAGGTGTCACTGTGAGACACTTGGGGATCAGGTTAGTCTTAAGACATTTCATGTTTCCAAACCTCTCTGAACTCCTGACTATTCGGTCGGTTCCAATTATCTTCCAAGAATTCGAAACACGAATAGGCTTTTCCAAAACAGCCTTCGTATGCTTTGGGCGCTCAAAAGCAGCTTCAGAATTTGATCTGAAAAGATTAATACTCACCTCTTCGTCTCATTAATACGACCAATGCCAGAGTATGACTCTCCCGCGTCTTGTCCTATCACCCGGGGCGAGGTAGAAAAGATTGAGCGAGTGCAGCATGTGGCCACCAGACTGATTCCAAATTTACGAGGTGTGCAGTACGAAGACCGGTGTAAGAAACTAGGGCTTTGCACCCTAACTTGTCGTCGACTGCGGGTTGACTTCATCATGACGCACCAGACATTACATCTGGGTGATTACCCTATGCTGAAGCCGCTGCTTTATCTGCGCACACCAAGCAGCACACGAGGACACGGGTATAAGCTTGTCGTACCGGATTTGAAGCGGATCGCTCACCAACTCTGTTTTAAACGGAGAGTGGTGAATACCTGGAACAACCTGCAGCAGAACGTAGTTGAGCGAAAGCCGGTGTCGGAATTTAAGAAATTCCTAGACAAACACTGTGCCGATATAAAATATATTGAGCGCACCACAACATAACGGGTCATTGTCCCTGAGTGACATTAGATGCAGAGATATCTCTTCTTACTGCCTCCAACCAGCAATCAGCAATAACATGCTGGGAAATATGCGCAGTAACCTTATTGACCATTTGAAGCATAATAGTCCTATGCAGCTAATACAAGCAGTGGTCTTATGTACTCTCTAACACTTTCCATGATGCTAAATTTAGTAACTTCGTAGAAATCAATATTCACATACCTATAATGCGTAGCATATTTTTCCTGAGGGCAATGGGCTTTTCACGTTAGTGAAGTTTTACTGGGTACTTATGCTTTCGGTATTATACATAAATTGCTCACTAAATGTCACACAACCCAAGTGCATTGGAGGGAAACATCACTTTGAATTCTCATGCGTGTTAACCTACATGACAATAAATAGTCTATCATTGTATACTAGAATTTGCGTTTTTCTATAACTTATTGTAGTGTTAAATGATAATTTCATGTCTATTCTTGCGTGTTCAGCCTACGCATATGGGACCGACGTGCAGCAAAATTAGAGATCCGTGCCTAGAGATGTCCAGCCCTTCAGAAGTACCGGGCAACACTTCATGCAATGCCCCGAATGGAGGTGTATGTATCGGAGTGCCAGGAACAAACACCTACCGCTGTGTGTAAGTGTATATGGATGCAGTAAAGAATAAACCAGAACTCGCAGCTGTAGAATGACACAGCGACTGAAGTATATAGAATAATATTCCGCTAGATTGCTTGTTAATTAATCAGCCTAAATCTGTGCGGCTTCTCCGTGCAAATCAATCCGTGCAGTGAAAACGATGGGCGCAATACAAACGCGGAGTGGCGCCAATCGAATTCTGACATTAGCGTAAATATTTCGCAATTTGTTATCTACTTAGACATTTCCTATTTTAGTGCCAATATATGCAAAGATGCACACCCGGTTATAAATTTGGAAGGTGGTTGACTGTGGTATCGGCATATGCACTAATATTCATAATATTTAAGGCTCTAGAATACGAGCAATTTGTAATATGATGACGGCGTTAACGTGATCAACCTGAGCACTACAAGAACAGTCCAATTGGGACAACTACTTTGATATATGCGAACACTATCTGTAGGTCAAGTGAAGTCAAAACTGACTATATGAACCCGACTGGGAATATTTTCAGCCTTTTGCACTATTATGCTATGATAATAATCATTTGCATACCCGTGGGGTTTTTGTGGAAGATAACTAGAAGAGGTATCCTAGGGATCATTACGAATCTAAATGCATCCGGAGCAATCCAACATTAATTCTAGCTTTGTTTCGTAAGTAAACTACTGAAGCAGCAGAGCAGGAACATGTCGATCAACTCGTAGTTTATTGGTACATGGGGTTAGTGGATCTGAGTTATTAGAAATTCTGTAACTAGCAAAACCTATTTGGTTAGGACAACCTGAAGCGACCTTAGCTGCGATGCACTGGCTACCATATATACTCGATCTGTCAAGGCTACACTGCTGGCACCTAACGCCGTTTCCCAAGCAGATGTCTTAAGCACATTTGTATGCCTTCGACCGTGTGATGAACCCATTTCTAAATACATAAAACACTCCGAATTTTTAGCGCTCTAACATGAACATACTTGTTAGTGGTAGGGTCGGTTTCTAATAAAAGAGCGTACCAATTTCCAGCCTGGCGCTAATGATTTGGCTTCCGTCTGTGCGTACGTGAATGCCGGGATAGATATATCTTTACGCGGGACCTGTTTCAGCGCTGGTGACTCACCAGTCTACTTTGGAATTGTTGAGACCGGACTAACTCAGTCCTTTAGATTGTCAGCTTTAATAAGTGAACTCAATTCACCAATTTGCTCAGTTCAGTAGTGAACCTATCACAAGGCGAAAGGAAGTCTCGTAGCAGACAGAATAATCGGTCGTTTCAGGAGTCGTTCTGGCGATAAATGAGCGGGTTCTTCAAGTCTTCCAAATCCTGGTATAATCACTGACGGATTTAGGCTGCTGATGTTATTGCCCATCTGAAAAGTAGGCAGATAACGAGCATGGTTAAGCTGATTACAGCTCAAGGGAATTAAAGCCACTAATGGGCTTTTGATCTCACTTTAGGAACATGAATTCAAGTAGATATAACACATTCTTAAGGATCAAATAGTTGAATATAACCATGTGTTTTTGTTACACCGTAGTAATTCGGCATTCGCAAGTAGGTTTTTTGACCAGACGTGCGTCTCTGGACAGGGCGATTGGGAACAATGAACGGCGATATATTACAGGTAAAAAAGCGATTGCTTTACAAGTCCCGCAGGATGGCTGAAGTGAAAGAAAAGACAGGTGTAAAACGTAAAGTTAAGCGTCAAGCGATTCAGTTGCAGTATTCATTAAAACATTTTAGAATGTGTATTGTATTGATACTGTAGAGTAATATGGGGAAGGTGTCTTAAGAACAAAAGTAAAGACAACGCTTACTCGTGCGCCGCTTCCTTGGACTGAGTTAATTGATGAATGCAGTTGTAGTATTTCCAACGATATTCCACAGCCGCAGCGTGTAAGTAGTGAAGCACAAAAGCTAAGCATGAGCATCGTTTGATCGCGTTTGGTTGACGTAGACATCACTGATTATATAGCGCAATGTACGTGGATGAGTGAATCATCCAGACGTCTTTTGAATAGCGTTGGGGTGGGGAAGAAACAACGTATGTAAGAAGATGGTTCTAGTGCTGGCAAAAACGAAGGGGAAAAAAATTCCGGCGGCCTTCCAACCGGCTCTATTGTGTGGCCAGATTTAGGGTGTGTCTTCTGAGGGTGGTATTGTGATTCAGCTTTAGTACGTGACGACAAGAATGGTTTGGATTCCTCAGGATCATATAAGTCACTATCAAGTCGCCACGCAGGCGCCGATATTGTCTACTGTAGACCCCGAGACTTTTCGGCCTCAATCGGTAAGTAGGATGAAACAGGCCCTTTACCTTCTTGGTCGCCCTTCGTTGTAGCAGTTCAAGAGCGGTAAGGTCTTGCTTTTGCCATGGCTGCCAGGCGTGGATGGCGTACTCAGAATGAGGTCGAATGTAGGCGTTGAGTATCTGAGAAGACATGGAAGGATCAAGCGCCTGAATACCTTCCGCAAAAGGCTATGGTCTTGGTTAGCTTTATTGCAGGCTTTCTCTGGCTGACGGGAACAGCCCAGATATTCCTGCACTATCACGCCTAAATCGCATTCGGTTGAAGTGCGCTGCAATATTTGATCCCCCACTCTGTATTCCCGTGGCTTTTTGGCGTATGCTCAACCCCTTACACTTTGAAGGGTTGAACTGAAGCAGGTTTTGAGTTAACCATTCACAAACCATGTCAAGATCATCCTGAAGTGCTGCGTTATCGCTGGTTGTTCTAATGGCTCACCATATCTTGAGGTCATCAGTGAAGAGTAAGGACTTGGAGGTGACCACTGTCGCCAGGTCGATTATATAAATCAGGAATTGTCCTAGACCAAGTACTGAGCCCTGGTGCACTCCGCACTTAACATCGCTTGGGTCAGAGATGACGCCGCAAACGCTAACATTCAGATGTCGTTGAAGCAAGAAGTTAACTATCCAACCTAGGATTGGGTCAACGATTACACAGCAATGCAGCTTGTGAAGGCGATTACGGTGGTTCCGACGGTCAAAGGTCCTTCAGAAGGTCAGATATACTGTATCAACACCTACGCCGCTGTCGACGGTCTCAGTCTAACTGGATCCAGCTGGTAGCAAATTTGAAGTGCAAGATCGGTTCTTGCGAAATCCACGTTGTTCTTGTGCTATGATATTGCGTTTTTCCAAGCACTTCGTGAGCGCTTCGGTAACAAGCGCTGCCATGATTTTGGAGAGTACCGGAAGTAGTGTTATCGGGTGATAATTGGCCGGATCTGTACGACTTCCCTCTTTATGGATGGGATGAACGATTCCCTGCTTCCACATTATTGGCACCTGCATTTCATCAAGGCATTGTTGGATGAACTTGGAGAGTGGGTCCGCCAAGTTTACTGCAGCCAATTTCGACGGCTTTGGACGAATATTATCAACGCCGGGAGAGATATGCCCGCGTATGGCAATTAGCCGTTTCATAACATCCGCAGTCGTAAACCTGATGTGTCAAATTCCTGGTGGTGTTACAACGATCGGGAACAGTGTATGCGGCGATGTCGTGCTCTGGAAGTTCGTGGCGAATTGTTGACATAGGGTGTTTGTCGCCTCGGTTGCGGTTTGTGCGAGTCCACGAAACGTGTGTAAGGCAGGAATTCCTCGCTGCACTTTGCGGAGCTTGTTAACGTGTCTGTAGTGGAGCTTTGGGTTTACAAGGAATTTCTGTATTCAGCTTGAACCACAGGTATCTTGTAAATCAACAGATGTAAGTAAACGCGCTTCTATTTTTATTTATTTACCACTTAACCTATTAAAATATTGGAGTCTAACGGCTGCTCAGCATGGAAGAACACGTTCCGTTTGTGCACTTTGCTACTTTCGGATATAGGCGGAACAACATTCTTATTTTTTTGTTAACAGGTAAATAAATAAATAAACAAGTAAACGGTATATTTCTCGACATGCGAGCCACAGGCCAAATAGCAACCAGATCAATTGGTACAACAAAGTTGGAGAGTGGAGGGATTTTTCAAGATCTGTTATGTTCTCAATAGTGTTGGATGTGCTCAGTCATTTAAAAGTAGTAAAATATGGAAAAGTTAAGAGTAGGAATAAAGCTATATATAGCCGTCAGTACTCGTAAGGTAATACGACCCTGCAAAATATCGTCTCCCGGAGACCTGCTTCCACACTTCACTTACACATCTCATTTGTCCATGTGCTGTTTTGGCCTACAGAAAGTATATACTGATATTTTTGACTTGTTTTTTCCTGTTGGCTGTTGTAATATGCAACTTCTGTCATCATCATCGTGACACATTATACATAAATATGTATAAATTTATGTGGCGGCCTGTGTAACATATTAAGCTCTCCCTTTATACAGCCATCATTGAAGCAGTTCGAGTATAGCATTTTTAATATTCGCCTGAGATCTTGACAACTCGCGTAGCATGAGTGTACTGCCTTTTTGGGAGCATTTACAAGTACCTCTTGGTTACGCCACGCTCTGACGACCTTGTATCAACTCTCCTAGTCGGCTGAACAAATGTGGCGCGACAAAGTAACTGACAAAATTCGAAGCTGCACGATCCGTGAGACAGTCGCAACCTGCTTACTAGGAGCAAATTGAACGGGCTCCTTGACCGAACGCAATTTCACACTCAGCTACCCAACCCCAGAGAACAAGACAAAAAGACAGGCCTTTCGCGTAGGCAGTTTTACCGGCCAGGCTCAAGACGATTACAACGCAGTCCACCTCGATGGCGCCCATGATTTGCGTAAGCAAACCCTGGATGCAACTGAATTGGTACTATGCAAATATGCCAACGGAACATGATGAAAAGTGTTTATTGGTAGATGTGGAGGCTGGACTGGAAAATGAATGTTTCCTAGGTAAAATAAGGCTGAATGTATTATGATTGAAGGGAGGTTGGTTGGAAACAGGAATGTTTTCCGAGGTACAAAGGCCAATCGAAACGTGTATGCCTCAGTATTTGGTAGGCTGATCGAAACGTGCACTTGGTTGA